AAGTTGACAATGTAGGATATAATAGTGAAGACTTTTGAAAACTGTAACAGACTTCCATTTATGTGGGGTGGGAAAGATGTGAAGTAATAACAGTGTAAAACTTGAAATTTAATTTTGAATGGTTAGTAATGCCTTTTTTGCACTTGTAGGACTTGGCAGAGCAGAAACCAATCTACTTAGCCTTAGCACTCAGGAGAAGAATGCAGAAGTAAGCTGTTGCTATAGTGAGAGAAGCTCTTTCCCTGTCAGTTCCCTTTATTTTGATGTATATAGAGTCAAGGAGTATGTGTATGAGAGTGGAGTTTTTTTCTTCAATGTACACTTGTACACAAAAGCTGTTGGAAAGCTGGACACTGTGTGGTTGGAATATAAGTGGAAGAAAGAGGTGTGCAGTAATGAGATATTGGAATGGGCATTTATATTAAAGCGAGTATGCAGACACCCTTGCAGATACTTATAAACTATTCAAGGATGAATCTGAACCTAGAAGAAGAAAACAGCACAGTTTAGAAAGATTCTAATTTTGCCAGATCAGATCTGGCCATTTTGCAGAAACTATAAGGCATATTTTACAAATATGAACAGTCACTGTTGTAGATGAGAACTCCTAACCCCTATGAAGAAAGTGCCATTTCTACAGGATTCACACACAGGCCAAAATCTAGGATTGTGCCTGGCTTTTTTGATGGGACGTTTATAAGCTATACACACCTGAAAAAAAGAAAAAGAAAAGAGGAAAACGAGTGCTTTTCGGCTGTGTTCATAGTGAAGTACCTCTAGACTTACAATATCGTTAGCACTACAAAGATGGATTTCTGTTGTGTATATGGAAACAAATCTCAGAAATCTTAATATTTACATTTTCACATCTTGGACTTTGCATATTTATTGGTTCTATTGTTTTTAAATTTTGTAATGCCTCCCTGAGTAGACCATAGGTCTAGATGGGCGGGGTATAAATCTAATAAAATAAAATAAAAATAAATGCATATTTGTATATTAGAGAAGGGATTAATTACCCAGAGCGTGCTTTGGCCTAACGCAGGCTAATCTGTGAGCAAAATTAAGCCTTTACCTATCCATAGGATCCCAGACCATTTTGTTTTTCACTTCATGCTACAGCAGTTTCAGCGGTTCCTGCAGAACATGGCTTTTTATGTCTAAAGTACTTGTTTTTCATCATAAATGCTCAAATCTGGTTTCGCTGTCCTGTGCAACTGATGACCGAAATAGCATATGGAAGGTACATCTTTATCTGCTTTCTAAGTGTTTTATAATGTAAAATTTACCACAGCACCCAGGAATAAGTCACAGTAGAGGCTGTGACTTTATCTGGTTCACAAGCAAGGGGAATCCATGCCTGGAAGCATATGTGGATTTCTCACGCTGGGTTAGGTTTACATATTGTGTGTGTAAATATAGTTAAAATATCCGCCAAATAAATACATCAAAAACCATACTTTATTTTATGTATAGCAATACAATTTACATATTAAATAACACTATAATAGAATGATTTTGATATACTTTTAAACATAACAAAAAGGGAATTATTCAAGTTACAAAAAGGGAAAAACAAATAAATCAAAAAATTTAATAACTCCCCTCCCAGAAACCAAACACCACATTTCCCCGATGGGTCAATGAGACGAAACTTATCCAGTGACTGGTTAAGTCTAATTCCTATTGCACACACTGACAATGGAATTTAAAGAAAATCCAGCATCAACAATCACTGTCCCAAAGAAATAACATGTGTTGAATTCTTTTTGGAATGTGATGGCGTTTCACTACTTCAATACACATAAAGTATGTAGTCACAGATCCACCACAAAAGGAAAAAAACTATGAAGAAGTTGAAACTAGAAAAAAATTAGCTTTATATGAAAATATAAAATTCTATGATTATATACCATAGATACAAAGTTCCCAGAAGATGCTTATTCAAGCAACAAAATATTTACAGTTTTTAATGATTTTTTTTCCTGCTATTTAAAAATGAAGAAAAGGAAGAGAATGGATAGAGATGGAGGCTTAGTTCTTTAGAAACAATGGCTGCTTGCTAGTTTCAAAGGTCCTAACAAAAGAAAGACAGGTCACTACCCCAAATGTTGGAGAGTTGTGACATATTATAAAATTGACTGTCTCCTCTTTTGGAGACATGTTTATTCTTAAAACTCAAGACATTTTTCTTGAAATTAATTTATCCTCTGTAGAAAAGGCTTCCCTTTGCAAATATCTAACAAAAATACTAAAAACAGTCAAACAGCTATGACAGTGTCTGAGGCCAACTTTTTTCACTGTAGGTTTGTATGTGTGTTCTGTGTCTGTTTCTCCCTGTTTTGTTTGCCATGCCTTCCCTTTACAGATAAGCAAAAGCCCATGTAGTAGACATTGTTTATAATGGCAACTAAGGGAGAAAGTGGAAAGGGTTGACGAGGAAGGGTAAGGGAGTTAAATCTCAAAAAAAAAAGAAAAGGCATTTCCCCTTCGTATAAAATTCTCTGGCATTGTTGCAGCACAACCATCTATCACAGGAGTACGGAGCAGAAGAGAAAGCATGCTGAGAGCCATGGCTGCAAAGTCATCAACAGTTCAGTCCTATAATTGCCTACTCAGCAGTAACTCCAGCAGAGTTCAGTGGGTCTTAACGCCAAGGAATGGGTAGAGCATTGCACTGCATTTCCTAGATAGCCTTTCTTCCCTTTTTTCTGTATTTTGTTTCCATTCTTTCCGCTAAGAATTGCTGTTCAGGTTCTTTGGTAAAAATGGATACTGTATCTCCACTTTAAAATACACCAGCACTTTGCAAGAATTGTAGCTAAGATAATTGTTTTATGTCATTAAAGGGGGCAACAGTTTGGTAATATTTCAGAGGTTCCCCCTAAATTTATATATATATTTTAAAAAAACATTCAGAAAACTGAAGGAAATTTTGCCCAGCTGATTTTAACTTCACTGTCTCTGAAATGGATTCTAAACACACTTTCTTACATACTAATGTATCTGTACCCTTTTGTCTCATGTTTGTTTGCATTTATAGTTTAACAGCTATTGAAATGGTTAAAAAAATTCTTTTCCAGAAGAGTTTTTGGTTTTTCCTCCTGCACTATATATGCATGAACTTGATTGATCCAAGTAACATTTCTTATTAACGTTCATTCCAAAGAAACTATGAAGTGACATGTATTTGCAGACTAAGGCTGTGAATTGGGAAGCCTTGGAAATATTTTCCTTTTGCTGAGGACTTAACACGTAAACTTCTGCTGTTTTTTGTGGCCTTGGGCAACACACTGGTTGATACAGTGGGGTCTTGACTTAAGAACGGCTTGAGTTAAGAACATTTTGACTTAAGAACCACTCTCATAGGAAAATATTGACTTGACTTACATACTAAGATTTGAGTTAAGAACTGAAAAAAACCACGTGGGAGGCAGGGAAAGTGCAAAATTTGAACTTTCAGTTAACTGTTGGCCAGTGAAAAGGGTGCCTGTCTGCTTCCTCACTCCTCCCAGCGTTTAGAGAGTGGATTGGGAGACAGTCTTCAGACTGCCTGGACTGTATTTTCCCTGCCTTCCCTGAACCTTTCTTGACCTAAGAAAAAAAGAAACAAAATATCCCCCTCTAGTGGTCGAAGGCGGAATAGCAGCTTCCCATTAGTTTCTATGGACGGAAAAGAGCAGATACGGATCAAATGGTTCTCAGTGCATTCCTATGGGAAATGCAGATTTGACCTGAGAACTTTTTGACTTGAGAACCGCCTTCCAATACAGATTAAGTTCTCAAGTCAAGACCCCACTGTACACTGGACTGTCCATTTAATAGTCCCATGTTCTGTTTATTTCCAGAATGCATTACAAAACCAGCTCATTCACGTGCCCATTTTTAAAATATTTACTTCTTTGAGATCATTTAACATTGGGATTAAGTCATGTTTGCACATTATTAAAGTTCAGGTATCATCATAAGGATGCCGTTGTTTTTTTTTTTTAAATGAAGTCTATGGGCGTTCTTTCTGAGGGCAAGGGCAAGTATCAACATTTGGGTAGAAATCTGAGGCCACTAATCTGTTCATATAAACTCAGAGCTCCCAGTGATAATTGTACAGCATTTAGGTAAACGGGGGCAAAAATCTACTGCTCTTGTTGAAGAAAGACAGAATATAAATGTAAAAATAAATGGAAAGGTAATAATCTTCAATCAGTTGGTTTTGGAGCAGTCATAAGGTCCAGCAGAGGATGTTACTTCTACTTAAATTCAACTGATATTTCTAGGACCTGAGAAGGTCAAACTTATCCCACTATCTTCAGTTTCATGTTAACTGTATGACTGCAAAAGCAAGAGAAACCTTGGAGTTTGGGAGGAATGGGGAGGAAGGAAATAGAATTTTCCTTTCTCTTCCTGCTGTAGATTCCCCTCCACATCAAAAACAAAAAACTGTTCCTCCAGAGATGTTAACTTTGAGTTTTGTTCAAAATACAGTGGTGCCTCGCTTAACGGGCGCCCCGTTTAACGACGAAATCGCATAGTGATTAACTTTTTGCGATCGCTTTGCGATGTTCCCTAAGGTGAAAAATCGCTTGGCGATGATCGGTACCCTGTTTCGCTTACCGATCATCGCAAAGCGATGATTTTTTAACAGCTGATCGGCAGTTCCAAAATGGCCGCAGGGTAAAAAAAATGGCCGCCCGCTGTTTTCTGGGATGGATTCCTCGCTTGCTGGGCAGCAAAAATGGCCGCCGTATGGAGGATTTTTGCTTAAAGGTGAGTCTGAAGCCCATAGGAATGCATTGAAGGGATTTCAATGCATTCCTATGGGCTTTTTAATATCGCATAGCGACGAAATCACTTTGCAGCGATTTTTGCTGCACCGATTATTGTCACTATGCGAGGCACCACTGTATTGCTGGGAGAGAAGGTGAGCTCCCCCTCAAGTTGATAGAATGCATACAGTTGAGGTCACGCCTAGTTCGGCCCTAACTGCCTCGGGATTGTGATAGAATGCATACAGTTGAGGTCACACCTAGTTCGGCCCTAACTGCCTCGGGATTGGGGCTCGTGGCTTTAGTAGGACAGTGTGTGAACATGTTTAGAACTACAATTTCAGAACAGCAACATTTCATACCACAGTGAATTTGTACTACGAGGCTTGTTCTTGAACTTGGAACAGCAAGCCATTCTCCCTAAGTGGATCTCTCACTTGCATCTTCTCATGCTAACTGCATCATTAAGATATGGGCTGTTTCCTATGTGAACTCATTCAAAGCATGCTTACGGAACACTGAATGAAATTACTGTATATGCCTGTAGAGCAAATCCAGTATAAATATCAATGCCAATTAAAATGCCATCAGGTTTGTAACAACCTGACTTTGGCTACACTGGTCTAATTTTGACTTCAAACCCACACAGACATCCTTTTGGGACTTGGTGTAAGTTTTAAATGCAACCAGGCAGCCTGGTTACAAATTCATTCATTTTTCTGTGATGTCACTTCCATAAAATGAGATCAAAGTGAACATTGCCAAGACAAATCAACAGAACTTCTGGAAACCAACCAACTTTTAAAAAACTGAATGAACCAATAATTTCTTGCCACAAAATTTGGGCTTGTGACGTGATTAAAATCCATCTCCTGATCAAAATCTGAAGTTTCCTGAAGCAGTGGCCATTGCCAGCAATGGAAAACACTGCAGTCCCTGATGCTAATACAAGCAATGTGCCTTCTCTTGTTGCAGCAGAAGCAATACGGATGGCATATCTTGAGATGGGAGAAGTGGTATGTGGAGTGCAACTTCTGGAAATATTCTTTGTCTATGCAATGGATTATTTAATTCCTCTGATGGGTTTTTTAAAAATGCAATCTAAGTAATTCTGTAGTCTAGAGAGTGTATGGGTCTGATGGGCATATGGAATACAGTGGGGCTCAATAGATTATCTTTCAGTGGAGTAGCTAAGAAAAAAAAGGAATATCTTCTTGGGCCGTATTTCCTTTCATGCCAAATTAATAATTTCAACAGCCATTTTGAACACGGCAACTATGTGAAAGAGGCACTTGCCTGTGTGATTATAAACAATTACAAGCAATACTTTGGTGGGTAAATTTCAGAAGAGGAGTCATTTTGCTGAATAATTTCCCTGCTGCTATAATTCTTTTCTTATTAGAAGAGCACTGTATTGTAGGAAAAATACTAGGATTAAAAAAAACATACTTGAATTTGATTCAGGAGGGAAGAGGAGACAAATATACATGCATCTGTTCCTGTGTCCAAGCTGGATAGCTTTGATTAAGGTGATTTACAATTCTGAATAGTCTGATTAAAGTGATTTGGATTAAAGGTGAAGTGTTTCATGCATCTGGTTGTTTGTGGCAATCCTAATTTGTCCATATTAAGAACTCAATAAAATTAAAAGGACATACTTTCAGGAGATTTTAATATTCCAAAGCTCCATTTTTAAAAAAAAATCAATGGAGTGATCATAAATATGTGCAAATTAAAATAAACAGCTTAATGCCTTAATTCACTGGTAGAAATCATGTTGCACAGCTCCACATACACCACTATCTGTGGAAAACTGCTTAAAAGAGAAATTGGCATTGATTAAAGGTGATTTCAGGTTGAGTGTCACTTGTACAGAATGCAACAAAGTTGTGTGTACTTTAGTCAGCAGCAATTTGTGGCTGCAGATGATGTTGTCACTAGGGGGAGCATTTCTGTGACGTGTGGTTCCCCCCCCCCGCAACCTGTGTTTAAGAGTTTATGGATGGGTTTGAACATGCTTATAAGTAAATGTGGTAAGAAAGGCCTGATTACTTCTAAAACACATTTGAACTTGCTTATGGGTTCAAATGTAGGTTGCAGAGAAAATGTGAATATCATAGGAATCATCCCCCTAGTCATCACCATTACACACTCAGAATGGTGCAACAGAATTTCAGCATTATCTCTTGCATTTGCAGGGAAATGATTCAAACCCTTCTAAAGAAAGAAGTGGTTTTGCCCCACAGATGTATATTGAGAGTGTAGTATAAATCCTGGTTGTATATTGCAATGTCCAAAATACCAAATACTTGCATAGCAATCCCTGTAATATTACGGAATATGTTTGTAGCAGTTGTTGGGGCTGTTGAATGCAAATGATTTCGTAAGTGTGTTGGCTTTCATCCCTAGCAAATTTTAAAATAATGTTTTAAGAGGAACCATTGAAAATAAGCTTGAATTTAAGAGGTATTAGGCCGTACACCACCCTGTCTCTTCTTGGATTACTAAACATGGATTTGGGAGTACTGTTTTGAAGCAGTAGAAGGGGTAGCTGTGTTAGTCTGTACAAGCATTATTGTTTCGAAGCTGTGGCTCAAATGTCAAGCAGAAGGAGAAAACTAGCCTCAGTCTTTCCTACCTGATACCTACATTTTTAGAGAGCAAAACTTTAGGAAGTATGAAAGAGTATTAAATTAGGATTCTCAACGGTAGTCCAAAAATGTTACAGCCCTGACTGCAGTCTACCATTTCACTGAAGAGTAGACAAGTGTCTTTGTTGGATGATCCTGTATTCCCTCCCACAGCAGCCCAGCCACTTCTACCACCGCAAAGTAGTGCAAGTCAAAGTGACAGAGCTTCCAGGTAGGGAGAAGCCCAATCTGGGCCTCTGTTGCCAACTGTATACCTAAATATTTGTTTATGGAGGGATTCCTATGCTACCAAGTCAAGTTAGTGAAAAGAAAGGGAATTCATAAAAGGAGGAAAAAATGGTGCATTCTGAAGAAACAATTCAGAGCACAAACTGCTTGTACTGGATTAATAGGAGTAGCCACAGTGGGACCATTCTACCCTTTTAGTCATTAAAACCAGCAATGCCAATTGTATTGATCTTTATTCACTAGTAGCAAGGTCAATCTGTAATTTTTCTCCCAGGCTATTCATTGCTCATCTTTAGTGACTGCAGATGGCTTGAGCAATGTAACCAAGCACCTCATCAGAATTCATTTCCCATTCTTAGGTATAAATAAAAAGCTAGACAGAGGAACACATCTGCACATAACCAAGCAACATAGAAAGTGGTTTGGATAAAAATTTTAAGTTGTTTGAAACAAAGATTTAATGTTGGGGTAATGAATAGGAAGGGGTTTCCTTGGGAATGGGAGATTAAGGCTGCAATCCTATACAAGCAACCCCAGGAGTAAGTCCCACTGTACTAGTGACACTTATTTCTAAGTAGATGTGTATAGGATTGCACTATAGGACAGAATAGTACAATGTGTAGTATACAATATATGATAATGAAATTGGAAGGTGGGTGCTAAATAATGAATTTGGTTCAAAAAAAAAGGAAGAGTGTAATGTTATAGGTAGTTTTTTTTATTAGATCACTTCACCAGTAATATGGATCAGTACGTTTTAGCACTAAAGTATGAAAATTACACACCTGTAAAAACTGCATCTAACAGCTATGAAATTAAGAAATTCTTTTATCATGTAACATACTGTTAAGTCCAAGGTCCTTTTCCAGAAGAATTAAGGACATGTGTGTGTAAAATGGTGGACAGTGTAATATGTGGGACTCTTGCCACCTAAATGCTTCTGGAATAAAATTACTTGATTGTATATGTTTGCACTGTTAATTATTGAATTGTCAATAGTGCAAATATGATCAAATTATTTTACCCTTTGAATTGAAAATGCTGTAAAGAACAATTGGGGGCAGGATCAGTGAAGTTGTAAAGCCAAAACCTGAGAATGAAATCTCAAGGCTTCGTTGCTCTGTGATTTGTAAACATAATTTTATGTGTTCCATACAAAAGCAATTTATAGGCCTCCAGGTAACCAAGAAAAGGAATTCAAGACAAGGCAGAGCAACTATTTATCTTCTAGAAACTGCTGCACTTTACTCAAGCTAATGATCACCCACCCCATCACTTTATCGAAAAGGAAAAGAAAAGAACACTCATCCATGTTACTGGAATACAGAAGACCTATAACAATTACCAACATTATATGAAAACACTCAGTAATATAGAATTACTGAAAAATAAACATTAAATATTGGAGGATGTTGAAGGTACAAGTACTTTCCTTGCAAATCAAAAACAATCCCTCTGGCCTACTAATGCAGGACTTTTAAGAGTCAAGGCTTATAGTCATTAACAAAACCATGGCATTTCAAATAATAAGTAGCATGTTTGTTGTCATGGAATGTCATCAGGGTTTGCTTGCTTGCTTGCTTGCTTTTGTATTACAACTTTATAGGCAGTTAACACTGATCATATAGTGCAAACTAGATAAAATTGCGTTTCACTGTGTGAAAGAAACAGAGGTGCAAATGCTCAGTAGGATACCATTAAGACATAAAATGGCAAAAATAAATATCAAAACTTTTATCAGTGTAAAAAAGTAATTGGGTTATTGTATAACCTAGAGTCTGGCAAAAAAGGCCTCAAAAAAGTTCACCCAGTCTTCAGAAATTCCACAAATTAAGTGCCTTTTTTCCTGTATTTCAATTAGACAAGCGACTCCATGCTTTCCGCAGGATCTGATTCGTCGTTGGCCATAACGGCACCATTTTTGTCCAGTGCCATGGGGGCATTTCCATTTTCCTTAGTGCTGACCAGGCTTAGCATTGCTTTGTAAAGAAACTGGTACTGCTCCTGGAATGGAAAGGACCAGAAAGATTAAAGACTGCCTAACACTTAAGAATCTAGACTATTAAACTTTCATCATGTATGACAGATCATTATTGGTTGTCATGCCTAGGACAGTTGTGGCGAACCTTTTTGGGCTCGTGTGCCCAAACTGGGGGGGGGGGAACAGTGGTGGCGGCGGACCCGGAAATGGAAGTGGCGGCGGAAGGGGGAATCCCAGCATGGAGGTGCCTCAAGGCCCCTCCGCTGCCCACACCAGTTGCTCTGGATCCGCCTGTCGAAGTGCCAGCGCCAAAGTTTGGCTGTGCGGGGGTGGGGTGGGGAGGAATAGTGATTTGGCAACCTATGGCTCACGTGCTGGCAGAAAGGGCTCCGCGCACCAGCTGTGGCACGAGTGCCATAGGTTCACCACTGTCGTCCTAGGATAATCTTTTAATCTTTCTACGCCCTGAGAGCCATCCAAACAACTTTCTGACACATCCAGTCCTAAACTGCTGCAATAGATCCTCTCATCTTCTAAACCCTTTTTCAAAAGGAGAAAGGACTTGTCCATCTTCCACAAAAAGTTATTTTGTCCTTGTTGCAACTTAATACTGTGTGGACTTTCAAATCATTTCCAATCTGGACTAAAGCCATAGTGCACATCACACCTGGAGTTGCTCTTGAACTCTTAACAATTAAGTCTACAAGCATGTAAGTAAGTAAAAAGTAACAATACAGTAATACTGTCTCCTTAGCTGCTTCTTATCCTAGAGCAGGCTTGTCCAACCTGCGGCCCGAGGGCCGCATGCGGCCCAGGTCAGCTCGTAATGCGGCCCATTGCACTTTTTTATTTTAAAAGAAATTCCAAAGTTTCAAGTTACACTTCCAACGCTTGCGGCCGGAATGTGGCCGGGGCATGTCACAACAGTAGAGGGGGAGAGAGGGAGGGAAGGAAGGAGTGGGAGGAGAGGGGACAGGGGGGCAGCATGACTGCATTGCGCTGTCCCCGTCAATAGGTGGACCCCCTCCCGGCCCCATAAAGCTGCCGGAGTCGAAGCTGGCAGCTTCTGCTGTCTGAGATCGCAGCTGCCGGTAAGTGCACTTGGAGCAGGGCTGCAGAGGACGGCTAGGGCTGGCTCCCCATGCGGCCCAAACCAAATGTATGTGCGGCCCAAACCAAATTTTCATCTTCTAATGTGGCCCAGGGAAGGTTGAAAGGTTGGACACCCATGTCCTAGAGTATACTTCCTGAATATAAAAAGCAGAAGGAATTTCTATCCTAGAGAGACAGAGCGCATCCTATAAAATGATGCTTAGCACTGCACGGTGGCTGTAATACAGTTAAGATCCACGCTCCTAAAGCATGACTTTTGTGTTTGTTCTTTCAACATCTAGTATGTTCTGCTTCTGAACCCTTGTTCACATGGATGTGACTTGGCAATGACAGTGGTACAGATTCTGCAGGTATACTGGTGGAGAAAGTATGTCTGCAACCATATTGACAAAAAATGCAGGGAAAACTATGGGATTGGGACAGACTGATTTCCATTTTTTTCCTATTGACAACATGATGTGAAAGCAAATGGGAATCAACCTGGAGCACCCCATTCCATAGTTTTTGCCTTTCCCTCTGAGGCTTATGCTTTAAAAAAAAAGAACCCATTCACTTTGGTTCATGCAGTGTGATTGCTTGAACTGATGAAAAAAATGTGCTGGTGGTTATTATGAGGACAATATCGAGGGGGCAGTGGAGGCAAAGATCCAGCCCAGGAGGACAGTCTCTTTGCAAATAATGGCTTTTTATTTTGCCTTTTCTTAAAAAAAAACTCGCAAATTGGTGCCAGCACTATTGTACTAGGTCACCTAGACCCCCCCTACAAAAGAAATTGATAACAGGAGGAAGAACCTGCAATGTGACCCTTGTTTAAACTTATTGGGTAGTTCCCTTGTAATTGCACCTGCAGGTCTATAAGAGAGCTATGTTAACAAGCTGCAACCAAGGCTTTCCTCCTCTCCCTGTGTGGCCAATCAACCTAAATTCCCTGGTGCAACTTCACAGCGAGTTATTCTGAATCCTCTTTTGCAACAGGGACTTAGACCTACAGAAAACATGGAGATTTTTACTCAACTTTCCTTTCTAGCACCCGCCTTTTAAAAACAACAACTCTGGTATCAGATCCTGATGAGGATGCCTGACTCCCCCAGGAGTCAGAATTTCCCTACAGAAATGTATTGACTTCCCAGGCAAAGAACAGAAACCTATGATTTGTCAAATGTCTTGACACTGGTTTCTACTGCATGACTTACAATGTCTGTAAATACTCCAGGCCTCATCAGATTGATCATCTTTGCCACCTGGAAAACATCAACAGCATTTTCACTCTCCAGCTGCTGGGACAGGGTAGTAAGGGCACATAACGTTCCAGCTGCCACTGCTCCATACCTGAAAACCAACAGAATAGTTGCAGTCAGACACTCGCAGGTGAAGCACGGGGACTTCTTGTCAAGAAGTAATGAAAATTTTATTTCCTTATGTCAACCTTATTTCTTGGGATTATAATTCATTTTCCCTGTCAGACAAATGTACCTTTATTTGGGAATAGGTTGATGTTATATTAACGACTAAAAAACCCATGGTGATGTGGTCAGAGGCGCTGAAAGAACAATTTCATTTTCAGCCACATTTCCTCAGAATGCCGTTAAAAGTGAAACATGTATTATGCATTATGACATAAAAACAAAAAACAGTGAATAACAAATAATAATTAAAAAAGCAAATTACAAAAGCAGTGATTCATCAGCACTGGGTGTGTGTGTGTGGGGAGAATCCCTGTCTGGCTTTTCTTTCTCTCTCTTCACACATATGCAATACCTAAATCAATTACTGTCCTACTTTTTAAAACCAACTTTGAATATTGCAAGAGTGGTAAAAACACCCAAGGAACAGATGAGCATTAAAATGAGGCACAATGTAGTGGAACTTGGGAAAAGCACCCATGTATGATAACAGTATTATAGCATGTTGTAAAATTATAAAGGGAGAATATACAGTGGTGCCTCGCAGGACGATTAATCCGCAAGACAATGTTTTTTTGTGATTGCTGTTGCACTTCGCAAGATGGTTTTTCCTATGGACGATTTTTGCAAGATGATGTTTGGGTCTATGCTTCGCAAGACTTTTTTTTTAAAGACCAATGCTTTGCAAGACGGTTCCCCCCCCCCATTGGAACACATTAAATAGATTTCAATGCATCCCAATGAGGAACCGCGTTTCACAAGACTTTTTTTTTTAGACCGATGCTTCGCAAGATGGTTTCCCCCCCACTGGAACGCATTAAATAGATTTCAATGCATTCCAATGGGGAACTGTGTTTTGCAAGATGATGTTTTCGCAAGACAACGATTTTCATGGAATGAATTAACATCGTCTTGCAAGGCACCACTGTATAGGGAGAGCCTTTTCATAAAGACTGGTTTCTATAAGGTGTTATCCAACCGACAGCTATAAGGAGAGAAATAGCAATATGTTTGAACCATGTACATTGGAAGTACATGGTTCGAAGGCAAATGTGGGTGACACTGTTATTAGACCACTGCACATTGTGCTCTGTTGAGTCTGTGCGGTTCTGCTGTGTAGTTAGTGGAACTTAACCAAAAGTACAAAACTCTCCAACAGAAATTCCAATCCATTTCAAAAAAATGTGGTCTGGAGTGCTGGTGGTCAAGAAATTTAAAGACAGTACTCCCCCACGCATCCAGAACGAATTATCCAGTTACTCAGATGTAGGACAAAGCCCTAGCAGATTCAACAGCATAGATGTCCATGTATTGGAAATAAGGGTATTTTTAGCCTGTGCATATTCAAGTCTCCTTCTGTGGAGAAGACACAGTTCTCCACACAAAGAATACAGCAGAAGCCAAGCGGTACTTGGTTGTCACAGCTGTGCCAGATATCTCTTGATGTGGCAGTTTTACCATTCCCATTGGAACATTTGATTCGTTGCCTACTTAATTATACACATTCATGGGTGATTGTGATTTCTCTGGGGACTCGCTTCTCAAATGAAATGCTTCCTAGATTATACTTTCTCCCATGACACTACGGATTGCTGGTGTAGTGAGTTTTAGGAGAAAAACTAAATGCTCTGTCTCTGACAAACTACATTTTACTTATCTGGGTTTTGAGGTGGATATAGATGGAAGTGCCGCTGAAAATTTGGGGAAGGCCTGTGAGATTATATGCTAGGTAGTCACCATCAATATGAATAAACCCCATATTACCTAATAGTAGAAAAACTATCCCAGAGAATCCAATTATGTTCCAGCTGGGGGCACTGAACTGAACACCCTTCCGTCGCTATCCCAAGGCACTGCACATACTTTACAACTAATAAACCTTTGGGTTTGGCTCTTTCTCTGTTTTCCTTCCAATCTTCTCACACTCCTGTCCCTCCATTCAAGATAGGTTCCTTCTTCCCTTTCTGTTCTGTTTTGCATAAAGTCTTCCTGATCTAGCAAAACAAACAAACCACACACCCTCCTTTCCTATAGCTTCTCTCCTACCCTATGCTGCCATTAAGCCTCCTTGTCCTCTCTTTTATTGCAAACTTCATTAGAAGCTCTCACAGTTTCTCTCGCTCTTGCTCTCCCCCCCCCCTTTTCTGGTAGTTTGATTTTCTCTGCCTTCATTTATTCTTCTCAACTTCTGTTCTGCTCATCAGAGTTAGTGGAACTAAGGAGCGCAAACTCCATATATGCCACAATGTACATTAAGGAAAATGCTGCGTGAGCTTTGCACCAAAAGGTCTTTGTTAACTGGATCCAGAAATACCATTTCCCCTAAAATAAGACCTACCCTGAAAATAAGCCCTAGTATGATTTTTCAGGATGCTCGTAATATAAGCCCTAACCCAAAAATAAGCCCCAGTTGTGAAACCCTGCCCTCCACCATTGTGCAGCAACCAGAAGATGACATGACTATATTTGCATAAATGTAGATTGTTGTACATGAAAAAAATCCCCTGAAAATAAGCCCTACTGCATTTTTGGAGAAAAAATTAATATAAGACCCTGTCTTATTTTCGGGGAAACACGGTAATCACCTCCATTTTAACATATATACAGTGGTACCTCGCTTAGCGATCACTCCATTGAGCGATGAAATCGCTTAGCGACTAACTTTTTACGATCGCAAAAGTGATCGCATTGTGATGGTCCCTATGGGTTTTTTTCGCTTTGCGATGATCGCGGGGAAGCGATCATGGCAAAGCGACCCTTTTTAAACAGCTGATCGGCGGTTTCAAAATGGCCGCCCCCGCTGTTTTTCCTCGCTTAAGGAGGATTTTTGCTTTAAGGTGAATTTTTAAGCCCATAGGAACACATTAATTGTGTTTTAATGCGTTTCTATGGGCTTTTAAATTTCGCTTAGCGATGAAATAGCTTAGCAACGTTTTCCGGAACGGATTAATGTCGCTAAGCGAGGCACCACTGTAATCCCCAGAAGATTTTGGGCGCCTGATCTAAGGAACAAAATCCCAGTTAAACATGACATATGCCTTAAATAAGGATGGAGAACCTTGAGGCCTCCAGATGCTCATAAATTATTATCCTAGCCATACTTCACATTTGACCAGTTGCTAGAGCTGATAGGAACTAGAGTTCAACAACATGTGTTATGCTACTGTCTTAGATTATCTATAGCTATTCTCCAACATTTACAGGTGCTTCAGCTACATCTACTGATTGTTGTAATGGTGAACATAAGACAATTGCAGAACTTTAAACTACAACATGCCTGCATAAGCAGACCCTGCCTACCTCTAGAACCTCTACTGTCTAATGGACAACAACACATCTCCATTATTTATGGTAATCTTACCCAATGCAAACATAAACATAATCTGACTGATATACGTACTCATCATGAACAATAGTGGGACCATCTCTTGTTAAGGCCTCTTCCTTGATTACATTGATAAGCTCAAAGGTACTGCTGATTGGAGCATCCGGGTTTGGCCATTTTGGACACTGAAAATGGCGTACCTCCAGAACATAGTCATCCTAAAGGGAAAACCAACTCAGTTATTAACATTCTTAGAAAGCACTCCAACTTTCAAATATTCCTGCAATAGTCTCTGAATTTAAAAATTCATTGACCAGTCCTTTGATTACTTCTGGTCAGGAATGTCTCATCCACACCCCCACTTCAATACAAACAGGAACTTCCTTTTTCCATGTGGCCACCTTGTATCTGGGTTTTAAGGGAACCACTGCATTGGTGAACCACACAATTTGTTACCAGGGGAGAATGGAAAAGGAACAACATTGGATTCAGGCTCCAGGATGAGGTTGTAAAGAATAAACTATACAGTGGTGCCTCGCTTAACAAGCGCATCATATAACGAAGAATCCG